TATAAAAGTCTTGACATATTCTAATTGAACTTCATATAAAATTTTATTCATTGTGTTCTGATTTTTAGATGTATTTATGTTGTAGGAAGTGAACTATGGGTTAATCCTGAATGAGAAAAAGATTATTTTAAAATCTCATAAAGAAAAGAACATGACCGTTTAATTTTGGTTTAGTTACATAACAATTCTTGATTTTTATAGGAATTGTGCCGATTTCATTAGTTATATTTTCTATAATGGTTCCTTTAATTATGAATTCCAAGGCTAATACTAATTTAGGCGACTAAAAAAATTATTTGAGAAAAACTTTTGTTTTTTAAAGATTCCATTTTTGAAAAATAGTACTCCTTAATACAGAAATTTTAATGAAATTTTGAAACAATTTATACAATGAAATGTAGTACTCTGTATTTCGTAAGTTATTCTGTTGTTCATACTATTATGTTTTTTCACGAGTTCATGCATGATTCATTTGTAGGGGTGGACCAGGTCCGACAGCGATCCGGGCCGGTCCGAAATCGGGTCTAGCACTATGTGGATAATCAGCAGGCGGGCCCAATCCCAATTTTGAATTTTGGGGACCGGACTAGACAATTCCAGACCTGATTCCAGTCCAATCGCCGACCCAATTCCGGTCCACTCTAGACCATTTTTTTAGGGGTGGGCATAAAAACTGCACCGAACCGGTACCGAACCGGCTTGTAATGATACCGAACCGAATATCGGGTATTTAAATGGTTCTATAAAATTTTATCCCGAACCAAAACCGTGTCGTTTCAAACGGGTACGGGACAGATAATTTTTGAGAACCGAAAAATACCGGACCGAACCTTTCAAAAATAATGCCTTTGAGAATTTTTTATATTTTTTCATACCCATAAATATCTTTTATAGATCAACAACTTTATAAAATACCGGTCTAAAATAGCTAAGTGTGTGTTATATAAATATTATTATGTTTTCCTTTTAGATAATTAATTTATGTTATATTTGGTATATAATGAAAGAATGTCAAAGTTTTAAAAAACATTAATGACTATTAATTTCTAGTAATGTAGTGTATATGACTTTTGTTGTATCATATTTGTGTAGTTTTATAACTCAATTAATATGGTTTGAATCATAGCTCTTACATTTCAACTATGAACTACTCCGTATATTAGAATTAACATTCAACTTAGAACAAAGATGAACATTAAATATTTGTATCCTGTTCAATAATTTAACGATATTCTTTCTATATGTTCTCGTGAATTTAATAAAGATGATATTATACGATTGTATATTGTCATTTTGCTATACTTTTAATAAATTCCTTTCACTGTTTGAGTGTTTTTGAATTTAAATACAAAAATGTCAACCTCTTGAATCTTTTTTAGTATTTAGTATGCACTTTCTTGTATTTTTATCAAAATTTCACGTCAATTGGCCCATGTGATGATATCTACTCATTGCAAAATTTGTTCAAATGTTTCGGCATGTATTTGGCATTGTACCGAACCGTTTTGTACCGTTCTGAAACGACATGGTACCGAATGGTTCTATCCTTAGAACCGGACCGTACTGAACCGTTAAAAACCTCACGGATACATTATGGGTTTTGCTCATTTACCGGACCGTTCCGGACCGCGTCCACCCCTAATTTTTTTTTCCTTAAAAACGAAAAATAAAATATAACCAAACCGGGTCTAGCCCACGACCAGCACAGGAACCTCACCGCCTAGGACCGACCCAAACCCAAATTAAGCCGGATCGGACCCGGCTTCGCCTAGCATTGACCAGGACCAGATCGTGCCCACACCCCTATTCATGTGTGTAATCTAAACTTGTGCTTCCCATAATTTGACCTTTTGGAGTAATATCTTCTCTTTTTGGTCCAACGGAAAAATGCAAGAATACCACAGCAAATTATTAGTTTATATCTTAACAATAGCAACAAGCAACTGAGTAGAATGAATATAAAAGAATTATAATCACAACAACAACAACAACAACAACAACAACAACAACAACAACAACAACAACAACAACAACAACAACAACAACAACAACAACAACAACAACAACAACAACAACAACAATAATCTCTACAATATTATAAGCATGAATCAAGGTAAGGATATTTTAGGTATTAAAAATTTGTTGGTGGTACATCATAGCTTAATAAATGTGTACGGTGTGCTTGAGTGAATGTACTCTATTCTATTTTGCTCATGAGTAAACGTCTATTTGTCTATCCACCGTCATCCATGTTAAAAACCTCTGGTCAATTCAATCTCGATTGTCCCGTTCAATTCCACAGCGTGTCACTCATCTCACCACATCGATTAGGTTAGCCCGCTCTACTCACCCATTTCGCACCGCTCAGAAGCAAGCCTACCGCCAACCTTGTCTTCTTCTCAATCGTCATTTAATTTGATACTCCTCTATGTAGCTATGTATTCTTCACAGAGTACACAACCAAACTTCTCAAATCTCATTTTCGAATTTCATCTTGGCAAAGGGGGCTCCTTCAAATTGAAACGACAAGTTCGGTAGGTTCAATTTTAGATTTATGCACTTTTAAAATAGTATTTGAAACTGTTCTGTGTTCTATGGAAATAGAGGGCTTAGGGTCTGTTTGTCATCCCTCCAATAACAAATGGAATTATTGGTTTCACTTTAATCACATCAATATGATATGATAAAGCATTATATACTAATAATCGATGAATTTCCAAATGGGTTTATTACCAATTAGAATGAAATACACTACATCACCCACCTAAAACAAAAACTACAAGCATACATATGTATACTGTGAAGGGACTTACTATCAAACCTTTAAGGAGGAACATACCAGACTAAAAAATGACAACCATTTCTCCAGTGGCGGAGCCAGAAATTTATGGTTAAAGGGGTCGGTCCTTAAGAATTTTATATTGCAGGGGCCAAAGTTTAAAATATCAACATACTTTCTACAGATTAAAAGTATTTATACATAATATATACTTGAGAATTTTTTTTTCTTGCAGGGGCCGTGGTCACCTCTAGCCCCTCCCTGTCTCCACCTCTGCATTTCTCCACCTTAAAAAATACACCAGGTTTATTTTTCATAAATAATGGAATTACTGGTTCCACAACATATATTGAACAAGGGCCAAGTGAATGGACCGGTGACCCTTTAACTCAAGTAATGCAAAACACAGAGGCGATAAAGTTAGAGGATCGCCTTAACTCTGTTTAAACTTCTAATTGTGACAGTAGAGAACATATAATTAACGAATTTAACGACATTTGATTGGCTAGATAGAGTGGAATTGAAAGGCACATTTTCATTAATTAGGCTGGTAGCAAATTTTTTAAAATGTCATATGGTTTCTTTAATTCTTCTCTATTTTAACATTTTTTTAGCATTTTAAAATTTCTATCAGGATAATGCTAAGTAACTAAAGCCTGCTATTTCAAAAGTTTGTATCAAGACATTTAAGAATATGAATCAAGATATATTCATTTTTCCCTATATTTATCTATGTATTCTTTCACACAATAGTTTTGGAATAAGGCTTAGATATTGTTGTTGTTGTAACTATATATTCTTTAACACAATAGTTTTCAAGCATATTTATGAAAATCGTCTTGCTATAGAACTTATCCTTGTCAACTAGAGTTTTCATAGGTAAACTAAATAGTAATAAGTGTTTGTTAAAATGCTAAAAAAAATTGTTTCTCTTTTGTATACACATCATATTTTTATGTGACTCTTTTTTGTAAGACTTTTTAGTTCTTGAAACTTTAATAAAAATAAGATATTTCAAACACATTCCGGGGTTAGGCATGTTATTTTTATCACTGCTCTTGATTGTTAAGTTGTATCAAGATTTTTTTATTGTTGCGAATGTTATAATTTTTTCTAGGATAGTTCTTTTTCCTTTAATGATTCCTATTCAAGGGTGTTGTCACTGTACTCTTTATGGTTTGAAAGCATTGGAAAACTTTTTCTAGAAAGAAATGGTAAAACCCCGTAATTTTATGCGGCTATCCAGAAGTATTACTTCACACGTTATTTCAATATGTGTATTTATAAACTCTTTAGACTTTGTTTGAGCCTTCTGTTATGAGTTTGCAGAGAATGAAAGACAGGGAGTGGAAATAATTATTTAGCTCATGTAGTGTGCCATTATAGATTAGTCTAATTAAAAATACTATTATGAAATAGTATCTCATTCTATGTGTTTCCCGATAAAGTATTTATTTTCTTGTCCAATTTTCTACATTACTTGATCTTACTGGGAGGACTTTTGCGGTGCTTATCCTAACCCCAATCTAACGAATACAAATTAAAGAAGTAGACTGCACGAAAGGGAATGTCCGAGATAAATCCTGATTCAGATTGTAAAGTCATTATATTGTTGGTAGGAAATGTGAATGTTTATGAACGAGAATTCTTTTATTTATCTTTCATTTGTATATGAGTAAATAAATAACTTATTACGGAGTATATTATATGTTGCTGGTACTTTTTAACACTTAATTCGATCTGCCCCTATAACATCTTTTATTCTTGCTTTGTATTTAACGCTAGTTATATATTTGTATTAGGGCTGATTTGTATTTCCTTACTGGATAAAAAGTCAAGACTTCAATCTAGAACAAATTGAAGATGGAATTCGTTGTTATAAGCCGGCATTTATAATGTGATAGATAGAAAAACTATCAAACACCCTCATAAGTCATGATTCGGGGGGTTTGTGCAAGCTTCTCACTTTTGATATCAATTGAAATCTTTTATCAAGTTTTTTATATATTAAAACTTAAAGCCAACTCTATTTAGTAATAAGCTAAAAGGTCAAATAGACCATGTACTATTGGCATTTCTGACATTTTTTAATGGTTGAGAGGTGAATTGAACAACTCAGTCAGGTTCAGGGGCTTATTTGATCCCTTAAATTACCACGGAAGATGCATTGCTAGCAACATAACGGTGACGTGGCTGTGACTGGAGCGTTACTACAATATGTGCGATTTGAACATTTCCATGGGTAAAATTAAGAATTCTGAACCGGTGCATGGACCTATTGACCTTTTAACCATTATAATATTGTTATTATTCAATGTGTAACACACGCACGCTACGGGCCTACGGCAACCTATGATGCCAAGCTTCATAATCATTGTTCGCCATTTGTTTTTATAAATTACTAAAAATGTGTACACCTAAAAGTCATGGAAGAGCATGATAGCATCATCAAGGTTCATAAAGGCAGACTCTAGTAGAAGCCTAACATTTGCAGATCTTCCGTCTCCTCTGCCCAGCTCCCCTACAAGCTGTGATTTTTCAAGTAGTAAATAATGATAGCATTAGTTAAAGGTAGGGATACAAACAAAGTTAGAGCAGTGTAGGATCGAGTTTGAGCTCAAGCTCCAACAAGCTTAATAATCATGGCTCGAGTTCGCCTCTTCAGTTTTTGTAAAGCTTGAATTCAACTCGGGTATGAGTTCGAGGTTGAATTCAAATTGATATTCATACTCGAGCTCGAACTAGATTTCAAGCCAAGAATAATTGTACTCCATAATGTTTAAAAATATTAGAATCGTATGTGTGTAGGGTCTATTCTGTCAAGAATGACTGTTTGCGTGAGAAATGAGAATTATGAAAAATAGTGCACATTTTATTCATGCCGGTGCACTTCGTGATGGGAAAGAAGTTCAGTTTATTTATAAAGATACCACCACATGTTTTGGTTTATGGCATATGCACTTTTAAGTTTCAGATGATACAAAATTCTCAAATCCAACGCAGGGGTTCACTGACAGTTCTAATTAGATCACATTCCCATATGATCATATATATGAAAAGATTGAAAATAATAATCCTAATTATTGTCGATCCACTGTTAATAATCTCAACTATCGATCATTTCTGAATGATCCCAACTATAAAGGTCATCTATCATAATAACCCATTGTAACCGGTCACCTGTTGTCCCATTCAAAAAAGGATATTTATATTTTATAGTAATCCCAACTATGGTCCATCCATTTTTAGTAGTCCCAACATAATACATCGAAAATAGATGAAAAATAGTACTATATCCTAGTCTATTAACTTGCCGCATATATTTTTTCTCAAAATATTTTATTACATGCACAACTTTCCTATTTTGATAAATTTTTATTTATATATACATACATTTTCTTACTTTTCAACCTTTTTATCCTCTATTCATACATTTGCATCTTTCTTTAAAACAATTTACACTATCTCTATATTATTTACAATTACAATTTCTATTATATCACTCAATATTATAATCTTAACCCCTTTCATTAAAATTACCCAAAACTTCCAAGACCTATACGCTAAATCTTAAAATTTAAACTCCAGACTACATCATACTTATAATGTAATTTCGAAAATATAACAATATAAAATAAAGTAGAAAGATATTAAAAATACTATACATGCAAGAAAGCGAAATTTCAATTTTTAGAATTAAGATAACACAACAAAACTAAATAAAATAATTTTTTCTTAAAACAATTGGAAAATCCCTAATTCCTTCAATTTTAAACCACTGTATACTTTTTGAAAACAAAAAATGTAAATTTGGACAAAGGAAAATACTAAAAATCAAAAGTTGGTAGCACAACTGGGTAAAAAAGATTTGGAAAAGAAAGATGTTTTTTTTACAGAAAGTAAAGTAAGAAACGACTAAAAACATTGTTATTAACCTCGATACATTTGTAGAATTTCATAATTATTTTCACGTATTCTAAAAATATTTAATTTGGACATTTATACATATGTTTCTACTTCAAAAAAAACTGACTGTTGATAATTGGGATTAATAAAAAAGAACAATTGTAGTTGAGTATATTTATAGCTTATGCTTAGTTCTCATTTAATGCTATATCATGTTGTAGCAAGTGAGGGAGTATTTTTGGCCAATGGTCCCTATAGCTCGGATCACCAAAAAATAATCGATAGTTGAGATTATTAACAGCAAACTGACAATAGTTGCAATTATAATTTTTCAATTTTTCCTATATATATATATATAGGAAATTGCCCTAAAAAGGAGTAAAAATAATGTGATATTCCAAGAAATGAGTAATATGATTATCCTAAATCGGAGTAATTACTGCCATGTGGAGAAAATACTATCAAATATGGTATTCATAATTTAATATTATCATATTAATGTCTCATAATTCCAAAATATGGCAGCACGATTTCAGGACGAAAGTAATTTACTCCTATTAGGGTGGGAAAAAATATAGTACTACTATTTTGATATATCATACTGTTTTTATTCCTACTTTAAAAAAAATATTGTTTTTACTCCTATTTCGGAAAATTTCCTATATATATATATACTCCAAGTATATATGTATATCAATGTTGTGAATCATGGATAGCAGAGCGTAACATCTAGCTTTTAAAATGCTATAGTGACGAAATACAGGTAGCACATATTTATATGCAACAGAAATGCAAAAGAAAACAACCTTTTTGACTTGCTCTTGTTCGTGTGTGATTCGCAGTCTCAGATTCAATGCAGTGTGGTACATTTCATCCAGAACACGCTTCCAAAGAAGCTGTTTACTAACACTCCACAACATTTGTTCTGTTTGATTATTTCCGCGCACAATTATTTTCTGCAACGGAACAAAAGAACCAATTATAGGGCAGGAACTGATGCATTTCTTTCTTTGACCAAATTAAAAAAAAATATATCCCCCTTGTTTCAGGGGGGATCACAACTATATTACCTTCATCTCCAAGTAGTCATCCTGCCAAAGTCCAAGAAGAATCCTGAGTGCATCTTTCTTTTCAACAAACGTGGCATCTGAAATCTATGTCATTGAAAGTACCATACCAGGCAAAGTCAGCAGGCAAGTGAAATGAGCGTTTTTACATAGAACATACAAGTTCATTATATAACACTTCTTTACAACAACAACATCGCTCCAGTGCCGCAAAGGCTCCCACTTCCGGTGGGTAAGGGGGGTGGGTAGGGGGGGGGGTCAAATGTACGCAGCTGCAGCCTAACCCCTGTACTAAAGCACACAGAGGTTGTTTCCCGATAGCCAAATTAATTCATTTGATAAGGGTTACATATGTAAGTTTTTTGTAGCAATAAATACAGTTTCTCAGGAAATGTTTAGAAAAGGGAATGTTTATTGTTTACAAATTACAACTTAATACCTCTTCAGTTAACATGAGTCTGCCAGTTTTTGAGACTAGCCTGAACATCCTAAAGGCCTCCCTTCCATATCGTTTCAACACAATGGGCTCCACCTGCAAAGCATTAGTGAATATAACAATAAAAAGATGGCAACCTCCACATCTAATACTAATAGCACAACACGATAAATAATTATAATGTACTAGATCTGTCCCAAAAAATTGAAGTCATGTTTAATTAATGTACAATTTTGAAATTTTGGCACGGTACAAGCGCCGTAAGTCACAACTCACAAATTATATCTTTAAGACTTATATTTGTTATTAAATTATCATAGGCTAAAGGGTCAAATAGGTACATGAACTAACTTAAAGTGTTCAATTAGCCCCTTATATAGGAGGTTCTACCCGGTCGTCGCCAATTGGGGCGGTTCCCGGTGGAATTTTTTGATAACATTTTTTGAGCATCTTTTTTATTAAGTCTAGTTTACCCATACCAAATTTCAGCTAAAAATTCAACCGGGAAGGCAGTCAAATGATTTTTTGAAGATAACTGTGCAGTTAAACAACTCAGTACATTTCGGAAAATCATTTGACTGCCTTCCCGTTTTAATTTTGAGCTGAAATTTGATATGGGTAAACTAGACTTAATGAAGAAGATGCTCAAAAAATTTCATAAAAAAATTCAACCGGGAACCACTCCAATTGGCGACGGCCGGGCAGAACCTCCTATATAAGGGGCTAATTGAACACTTTAAGTTAGTTCATGTACCTATTTGACCCTTTAGCCAATTATCATATGCATCTTGTTTGTGACTCTCTTTGTATGTTATTCTACAAATTACATTAAGAGCTAGATTTGATTAAAATCATAGGTGGTCTCTTTATTTGAGACAAAAAATGTTTTTGAAGCAAGACCTTTTTTGGGACGGAAGCTATATGAAAAATAAGAACCTCTTCAGTCCTTGCCACTTCAATTATATTCTTTAGATCTGCAAAAAAGATTAACCCGTATCATTATTAAAGAAAGTAAAAACTGTGATTTACTTTATAGTCACACCATCTTCTGCAGTTAAACAAGCTTCTCTCTGAAGGGGAAATCAACAAGGCATTAATAATGGCATGTACCAATACTATATGACTCATCAATCGGGATCAGAGGAACTTCACAACCCAGTTGGACCAGTGAGCCTCTAATGCGTTCCAAATCCATACCAAGACCAGCTTCTTTAGTTATCACAGCATCATAAATTGAATTTATAGACAGTGATGCTGCAAAAGAAGAATTTTACTAATCAAGGCAGAGCATGATATTGAACAATATTGAGAAAGAAAGAAAGTAATGCAATTGTCAAAACTCAGTTAATTCCAAATTGCATTTAACACTATCTGTAGCCTTATGACGCTTCTGGAAACAATCCTTGTGATTTGAGCAGCTAGTTTACACTGCAAGACAGATTATATGGCCTAAAACTCTAAAAGTAAACATATAATGCATAATGGAATACAAATAAACTGGGGTGAACAAATTCAATAAAATAAAGAAAACCATAAATAGTTGGAGGTTACACTCAAGTGTGCACAAGACTCGTGTCGACTTATAAGTCTTACATGATGACTTCAAAACTGAAAACCATCTTTTTAAAACAGAGATGCATGTTGATGGAACCGTGAGCACTTGACCTGATCGAACCTTTATAAGGTACAATTTTTTATCATGTCTCAAAGCAAACATGGTCAAATTTATATATTTCATGAGATACAAATTATGATCACCTGAATTATCAGCTTTTACTTGGGTTCCGGAGCTTCTACTCAGTTCCAGGATGGCATCAAGAACAATTGCAGCTTCATCATTAATTCGTGCTTTCACATTTGCGACGCAAGCCTAAAAATATGCAATCGTATGAAATAGAAGATACTACAATAATATAAGCCATTAGATGAATTTATTTTCAGCTTATGTACTCTTAATCTTTTATACAAGGTTGTTAAAATTGTATTTTTAACAATTTGAAAAGCGAATCGGAGATTCGAATCATAAATCGTAAGATTTTATAAAAACATTAGGTAATACGGAATAATTATTAAAAATATTATTTAAAAGAAAACTCAATTTTACATTAACAAGTTGAATCATAAAATTTAAATCTTAAGATGATGTCTTAATCAAAGTGCACACTATAATTACAAATTAATACTGTTAGATATTTAAGGATTTCAACAAGTGCATATGATGTTTTAATATCAAATTTCATAACATGTATTTGAGTGGTGAGAGTACATGAAAACATTAGTACAAATACTATAGTTGTCCTAATAGTTCAAAAGAGAACAATAGTTAGCATAGCTAAGCTGGGAAGATACCGCCATTGTTAGGCGAAAGTTGCATGGTTCGAGTCCTAGCCAAGGAGAAGACACTTTTTTTCACAAAAAAAAACATTTTTGGTTATATATTGCAGCTTTCCCATACCGAAAAGAGAGGGTGATTTCCCTTCTCTGTTGCCTTATATAATGCCGAGCCTTGAAGGCAACGTCAAGGCAACAATTTCGTTGAATTGTTCCTGGCCTGATGAAAATGGTCAGTGGTTGGTGTGGGCAAAAACTTAGTCTGCTCCATGTAATTTGAAATTGTGAAATCGATGGAAATCGCGATTTTAATCGATTTTTTCCGATTTTAGAATGAGTTTGAGCAATTTTTATGTAGACCGACTTTATACATGATTCGAATTGAATTGGTGATTCTTAATCGAAGAATCGTACGATCCTACGCTTCAAATTGCAATGTTGACAACCTTACTCTTATAAGAACCTATGGTCACTATTCCAAAGTTTTTAGTTTATTGACATAATCCATTTCAAAGAGCCTGTTAAAATAAGCAGAACATAGATTTTCCGCTAGCATACACCCCAATTCAAGTTGTTTAATGTATGAGATTTGCACGAAAAGTTATTGTGACCACAATCCTGAATTTTTAGGATATTAAATATAATTGGAGCAATTGTGATGAATGCCAACCTTATGCCTTAAGCGGCGCACAAACTCTTCACAATTAACACGCCAAAGCACTTTCTTTTCATCTTTCACCGACAACTCACTCTCATCTTTCTTGCGCTAAGCAATGAGAACAAAAATAGGACAATTTTATAAGATAGCTCCATGTATAAAGACTGCACATATCCAATATATGTATCACAGAAATACACTGCAAAAACACAAACCTTCCCTCCAGCTGCCACACTTTTTCCCTCTTTGGTGTTTTTGCTGCAGCCAGGAACATCATTCCAGGAGTCCATTTCAACTGAAAACCTTAATGATTCCATGGGAGCTGCTTCTTCTAAAGCCTGGGTCTCTATACTCTTTTCAGCAAGCTGATTCCACATGTTAATAGCAAACACTCAAAATACAACCGCATAACAACTTCTTAAAAGCCATTAATGCATGTAAAAACATTGAGATATGAACCATGAATATGAAATTAAGAAGCACATCAATTTTCTCACCTTTCCCTTTGATCTTTTATAACAAGTTATATTCATTTTTGTCTACGTTTTTACAGAGGGCACTGGGGCATGCAATTTGGCTTGTTTTCATTAGAAGTTGGCACGAAGAAACCTCAAAGATATCAAACAGAAAAATAGCAAAACCAAAGAAGTTTTGGAAGCAAGCAAATGAAAAAACCTTGCTAGCTTTTTTGGCTTTTTTCTTTGCTGCGGATTCATCTTTAGAATGCGGATCAAGAAATGGTAGTGGGTCTGGACAGCGTTCTACAAATCGAGCTTGAGCAAGGCGTTGGAATCTATCCAACACATCATCTTCACCAGAAACTTCTGGAATGATATAGGATTTAGTCAAGGAAAACGATTTACTAATAATTATAAATGAATGTGTTTATGATTTTATCAAGGGTTCTTTTTACTTTTGTGGAGGAGCTATTGAGATTATTATTTTTTGTGTATCCTTCCTTATTTTCTGATGATTGTTGTCAATCATTAAACTTTGGAGATAGATACACAAGGCATTTATGGGGATACTAAGCTAAATAAAATTGTCACACATTACGTATGACCATTACATAGAGGATGTGCCCTTAACCTTGTTTTGCCGTTTCCTTGTGCCTATCAAGTATTTGGCTGAAAGAAAGCCTGCCATGCTGAAGCAACCCTTCAAACATCTCTCCGCACTGAACAAAATGCCGATAAGCTAAACATGACCCAATGTATTCATCTTGAAAAGAATTAAAATCACAATACGGAGTAATAATTAAAGCAGGAAAATTAAGGGTGCAAACACAAACTCACTTTTTTATCAAGCTCCTGGGACACAATCTCTAGAAACTTAGGAAACCTCATCCTATGGATTATATTATCAAATAATGCCATGTAATTGGTTACAATTTTTGGTTCAGTCCCAAATGCACCTATGTTCACAAACCACAGCATGACCATCAATGTCATATGGAGTAAAAAAATAGTATAATTGGCAAAGTCATGCTGGCAATATGGAATTAAATATAATACCATCTTGTTTAATGGCAAAGGCTTGAACACAGTTATGATGAATTAACACGAGCAGACACTTCCTTACATTATCTGCGCTAAGCTCTGTGAACTGTATAATCTGCGGTAATGTTAGGGTTCCTCTTCTCAACAGGCACTCACATACTTTCTGAAATTCCGAAAAATCAGACAAATAATCAATACTGGACTAAACACGTTTTTCCCTAACAAAATAAGGAATTTAGTTGTTCAGTGATTTACAGCGTTGTGATCGCCGAGTAAGGAGGAGACGAGATGAACGGCGAGTTTGATGCCGTGTTGTGACGCCATTCCGGCGTCTCTGCTTCCCTTCAACAGTTCAACGGCAATCGGCGACTACCCGCCGTCAACAGATAGGATGGTAGTAATACGTAGTGATTTTCAAGCTTTTACGAGTGGAGTTAGGGGTGGGCGCCCTCAGGAAAGGTCCCGTAAATTAGTACAAATGTATTCGTGAGGTTTCTAATGGTCCGGTACGGTCCGGGTTTAAGGTTGGAACCATTCGGTATCATGGCATTTCGGAACGGTACAAAACAGTACGGTACAATGCCAAACACATGCTAAAAAATTGGACAAATCTTGCAATTAGTAAATAACATCACACCAACCAACTCACATTAAGTGGTTGGTGACAAATCTTGCAATTAGTAAATAACATCACACCAACCAACAAACTATTATACCATAAATTTCACCTTTCACAAAGATAATATTTTGCAAAGATAAGAAAATAACTTGTAATAGCAGGTCATCAACCGGTCAGGGACCAGTAAATGAAGATGAGGTGCAAATGTTGGATTATTCATGAATAACGAAAAGGTGGGACTATTAAAAGAAGACCGCTAAAAGGTTGGATTATTAGTTTCCATTTTCCCAAAAGAATATCATTAAATTGTTCGATATAATAGAAAAATTCAACGCTCTTTTTTGTTCTAGAGGTTAAATATTAGTTCTGGTTTAATTTATAGTTAAACCGTGAGAGCTAAGATTTAAATCATATTAATTAAGTTGTACAATTTCACAAACACGATACAACAAAAAGTCATATACACTACATTACTTGGAATGAATAGTCATTAATGATTTTTAAAACTTTAACATTCTTTTAATACATATATACCAAAATATAACACAAAATTAGCTAAAAAGAAAAAATAACAATATACATATAAACGCACACATTTAGCTATCTTAGAGACACATGAATACATATTGGGATATAAAATTGTTGGTCTATAAATATATTTATTGTTATGGAAGAATATATAAAAACTTCAAATGCATTATTTTTGAACGGTTCGGTCCGGTTCTTTTCGGTTCTCAAAATCTAGGACCGATCCCGTACCCGATTCAAATGGTACGGTTTCGGTTCGGGATAAAAAACTATAGAACCATTTATATATCCGATATTCGGTTCGGTACTATAATGGACCGGTTCGGTACCGGTTCGGTTCGGGTTTTATGCCCACCCCTAAGTGGAGTATACTACTCTACAAAAACCAGATCCGGTTGGCTCGGATGTCAAGATGGACCGGGACGGGTCGATCAGACCAGGTCCGGTACTGTTTAGGCTTGATCCGGCCCGTACTATATAAGCTCGGTCCCAGTCCAAGCCCAGCTTGGTGGCTACAAGCGGGCTTCAGGCTCAATTTTTTGGGTTACTAATAAGTGAATAAGTAAATGAATAAATAAATAAGTTATGTAAAATAATGATTTAATAATATTATCAATTTACATTGTAATACGACACAATTATTTAAATAATAATTAAATATGATAATACAAGTATATTATGAAAAATAAATTTCATATGTTTACAACACAATAGGATTAAACATTAGTGGTAATAACACTGAAATTATAGATATTTTATTTTTAATATTTAATAATTAAGCTTACATTTAAAAGCTTTTCAAAAAAAGAAAATGAAAACATTTGTACCGAACCAAACGCAAAAAGTAATGCTCTGTATACTACTAATATTAATACACAATTTTAAAAGTCAACCAACAATCTCCTACTGTAAAAGTGTCATAGGGAGTATGTTATACCTCTACAGTGCTACTTACTGCAATGATCATTTGTGACTAATATACAATCCTGGCCTACAAATCACATTCTCTGCATTCTTCCCGGCTTCCCGCAAATCCGAGAAAAGGTTGCCTTGTACAACATACGTAGCCAAGAACGATAACGTTTTGGCTTCTTGTATTGTTATGATTAAAGGGTACTTTTGGTATTTTACCTTTTGTCAGTTTCTCTTGAGCTTCTTCCATTCATACTCTTCCCCAACCCATTTCACACTGAGGTGAACATGAAGAAGGAGAAGTTTGTCAGGTTTGTTTATGCATTCTGAGAGTTGCTACTAATTTTAGTTTAAACTCATGATTTTCTCTTTGGTTTATGTATATTGGGGAAATTTGGGGAAAAAGAGTTGAACTTGGAATCATAAAAGATCTATTATTGTCTTGCCTTGGCTTAAAAGGGGAGAAATCTCTAAGCTTATTAGAGTTATGTGTTCTGTTCCGTAGCCTCAATTTTAGGTCTGCCCATTTTTCCTATTGGAAATTTTAATTCAACTTTAAAACCCTGTTTTGCTTCCAGTTGTTGATGACTTCTAATAGAGTTATACTAGTTTTACTTTTGATTCGTCTGTGATGAGAAAAATTGGGTGTGTGATGAGAAATATTGGGCCTGTGACTTGAATGTAGAAAATAACTGAACTTGTTTTTCCTTGGCTTAAAAAGGAAGAAATGCATCAGCTTATTAGAGTTATATATTCTTCTTCCACACAGTAAAATTTTGGTCTCACTGTTTTTTTCCTGTTGGAATCTTTATTCTACATATTATAAAAACCTTGTTTGCTTCTATTCTCTAAGCCTGTTATAGTTAAATGTTCTCACACCCTACATTCAAATTAGGTTTTTCCTTATTGCTGTAAATTTATTTCTGTTTTTAAAAACATGTTCTAATTCTATTAGGTTCTGCTCTAATGAAAAAAAGCAAAAATGGGGAGGAGAAGTTGAACCTTCAAGCTTAGAGAAATTGTCTTCTGGGTATAAGTTTTCATCATCATTGCTGAACTCTAGTAGAAACCATAATAAAACCAATGAAACCCATAAGTTTGGGAGGTCAAAGGTGTACCCAGAGAACCAAGAACCGTTGAGAAAGTGGGTTCTTGATCCAGGTAGTGACATTGTGCTGAACTGGAACAGGGGTTTCATAATATCTTGCTTGTTGGCCTTGTTCATTGACCCCTTATATTTTTATTTGCCTATTATCGGTGGAACTAAAGGTCTGAGCTGTGTGAGGACTGACTTGAAACTTAGAATCGTGGTCACCATTTTCCGTACCATTGCTGATTTTTTCTATCTGCTGCATGTGGTCATTAAGTTTAGAACTGCTTATGTTGCTCCCGATACTCGGGTGTTTGGTAAAGGTGAGCTTGTCATGGATCCTAAGCTCATTGCCCGGAGATATTTAAGATCTGGTTTCTTCTTTGATCTTATTGCAACCTTACCTCTCCCGCAGGTACTTTTATCACATGTTGATAACTTTTTAACTCATGTCTTATTGCATATTTGTGTTTTCTCATGTTTGGTAATATTTGTATGGTTCAAACTCATCCTTTGCAAAATCACTAAGATTGTCTGTTTATCCCTTTATCCCTTCTTACTTTGCAAAATCACTACGAATAAGCTCTGTCCAATTACCTTTGTCCCCTCTTTCCGGGTACATCCATCACACTAAGATTGTCCTATTTCATATTTGGTAATATTTGCATGGTTCAAACTCATTCTTACTTTGCAAAATCATTATCAACCTCATAATGTCATTCTATTTAATATGCATGTCACTTTCTCTTGTTCCAGAGAGAGTGGAGTTGAGGTAGTATAAGTTTTTCAAGGTGGTGCTTTTACAGTCTATCAATAAAAGACCTCACACTTAGTTTTTGTTTAGCTGAAAATATCTAATTTTGCTGTTGTCTTATGTTAGTAAATACTAGGAGTAAATAGTAGTATAGTATTACCTTCCTTTAAAAAAAAGGTCTTATATGACCAAGGTATAACCTTTTAGTGTTGGTACGTTACACCAGATATAAATTAGTATTCTAACTTTGGCTTTTCATGTTGATTTGTCAGTTTCATTAATTTTTAGTTTTTCATTTTCAAGTAGATTACCTGAAAAGTAGTTTTGTTTGATCAAATACACCTATTCATTTGGGAAAAAAAATTGGGTTAAAAAAATACTCCTTTGCATGCCGTATGTCGTATACTACTCGTAGTGTTTGTTTGCATATATGGACTTGTTTAACCTATTACTAAAATATTGGGTATTTCTTGCAGATTGTCATCTGGTTCATTATACCAGCAACGAGGAGTCAACATGCAAATCATAATAACAATGCCCTTGCACTGATTGTCCTAATCCAGTATATTCCCAGGCTATATCTTATTTTCCCGCTAAGTTCGCAGATTGTCAAAGCCACAGGAGTTGTCACGAAAACTGCTTGGGCCGGGGCTGCATACAATCTCCTTCTCTACATGCTGGCTAGTCATGTACAACTCCATTTTTTTAATCTGAAATGATTGATTCTTTTTCCCGCGTGATGATAATATGCTTTTTTGTTCAGGTTTTAGGGGCATCATGGTATTTGTTGTCAGTTGATCGGTATACATCTTGCTGGAGATCGACTTGCAAACATGAAAGGAATGTTACAAGATGTATGTCCAGGTACTTGGACTGTGACACTATTAACTATCAAGCACGCAAGATGTGGGCAAATATCACTAGTGTGTTCAAAAACTGCGATCCGAGTGGAGATGCTACCACTTTCAAGTATGGGATATTTGAAAGTGCCGTCACTAAAAACGTTGTCTCCTCAAATTTTCTTCATAAATACTTCTACTGCCTGTGGTGGGGGTTACAGAACCTCAGGTAATTTTTCATTTTCCCCTGACTATGGCACTATGCTAATTAGTGCTAATAATAATAGTTTCACTGCTACTAAGCTTTGCTATGGAGATGTTTTAGCTTCTCTAAAGAACAGTCTTTTATGAAAGCTAGAATATGGAGATGTTTCGTGCACATGATATAGAGGGGTTTAATGCACCAAACCCCCCTGTGATTTGGAAATTCGGCGCATTAGTCCCCTGTGATTTAAAAAATGCGTCAAACCCCCCTTGTGTTTTAATAAATCATGCACAGAACCCCCTTTATGAATAAATTTAACGATTTGAAAATCACTTTTTCTAATATTTTGATTGAATATGCAAATAAATATGTCAAAATATCTGAATCATACAAAAATGTTAATCATTTTTCTTTTATTTGACAATTGAATTTGTTCACATAAGGGATTTGGCGCATGATTAATTAAAACACAGGGGGGTTTGACACATTTTTTAAATCACAGGGGGCTAATGCGCCGAATTTCAAAATCACAGGGGGGTTTGGCGCATTAAACTCTGATATAGAGTAGCAGTAGGACTTATTTAATGCTGCAACCAATGGAAAAGGTCTTAAATTCCTTTCTCGGATCATTCATTAACTGGCTTGTTTTAGATGAGATGAGGTTATGGGATTTTTTCACATGCCACTACTTGCTGTTTCAGCTCTTACGGGCAGAATTTGTCCACAAGCACCTTTATTGGAGAGACAACCTTTGCCATACTCATTGCCATTTTTGGTCTTGTTTTGTTCGCACATCTTATCGGGAATATGCAGGTAAATGTTTCTTTTATATCATCCTTAAAAGAATTCAAAGTTCCTTCTTTCTCCTTTCTAGTTATGATGTCATGCTTAATGCATATTTGTGTAACTATCACTACCTTAATCCCTAAATAAAGTTCTTGTTCACTATTCCTTCGAGGAAAGTGGCAAAATGGTACTTGGATTTGACTTGGCGGAGTTAAGAGTACATCAACTTACATCGGAGCTCATAAAGTACTCCAATTTGTCTCTGACGCAATAAAAAGTACATCAACTTAGATCAGAGCTTATAAAATACTGTAACTTGTTTTTTGCCATTATAGTAGCAACTAGCAAGTCATTAAACTAAAATCTAACAAATCATTAAATCATTTCTCCTAAGTTATCCCTATATATGTGACTGTGGTAGGCGCGTGACGGCCAACAGTATCACCTAGTCACATCACTTGACATGAATCGAAATATGAATATCGTTGCTCTGATATCATGGATCGATTTATGATTTTATGTTAGCCGATCCTAAAATCTTTTGGGCATAATGAAATCTTTTAGCCAACAGTATCACCTAAGGCTTGGTTGTTGTTGTATCCCTCTATATGTGAAAGATTTATCATAATGCCACAATGAAAACAAGTTGAAGTACTTCCAGAGCTCTAATGTAAGTTAGTCCACTCTTTACTCTGCTGAATAGTGTGAATACAAATATGTTCAGGGGAGAGTTAAATGTAGCATCAAACCAAACATCTTAAACCAAAACAGAAACTTTAACTAGGAACAGGGAAGGGGCGAAGGGAGTATTATCTATTATCTACTAAAGGGAATCCCACTGATATATATTTCTCTTATTAAAATGTAGACATACCTGCAATCTATGACGGTGAGGCTGGAGGAGTGGAGACTTAAGAGACGAGACACAGAAGAGTGGATGCAACATCGCCAGCTCCCAGACGACTTGAGAAAACGCGTTTGGCGTTTTGTTCAGTATAAATGGGCTGCAACTCGGGGAGTGGATGAAGAAACCATTTTGCACGGCCTCCCTGCCGATCTTAGACGTGACATTCAACGACATCTATGCCTCGACCTTGTTCGACGTGTATGAACTTCACTTCACTCAATTTCTTTCTTCACAAATCATGCTGCAAATCACAAGAGTGGGGAGGGGGCTGCAGACAAAGGTCTAGCACTTAGTCGGAGCATAGGCTGGCTCAATTTGGCATAGATTATCTCTTTAAGCCCTAGTATTTTATTACTACTGTTTCTATTAAACTGAGACCAATTCATACCATAAGAAACAAATCATGCGGCAAACTATTTGAGTGGTAATCTTCCCACTCTCCTTTTTTGGGTGTCCCTTAAAAATGTCCCCTTTCCTTGTTTGGTAAACAAAACAGTGTCAAACTGTGACAAACAGTTTCATTTTCTTAATATGTGTGCATTTTGGAGTGGGAAGATTAAATAGGGACGGAAGGAGTATAAAGGATCTCTTGCTACTTCTTGTGTCATACCTTGTTTATCTTTGATGATAGAACTTTAACCATGGATAGATCTTGTGTGTGTCCTAATAATAAATATATTAATGCTGCACAAACTCAAGCGATATGCAACTGTCTCTCCTTTATTGTCCTAATAATCTTATTTTTCTCTTTTCTCATCCCCATCACAACTGGCAGGTACCGTTCTTCTCTCAGATGGACGACCAACTACTGGACGCAATATGTGAACGTGTAGTCTCATGCTTGAGCACAGAGGGGACTTACATCGTGCGGGAAGGTGACCCAGTCACGGAGATGCTTTTCATCATAAGAGGGAGGCTGGAGAGCTCCACCACCAACGGAGGCCGGACCGGTTTCTTTAATTCCATCACGTTAAGGCCTGGAGACTTCTGTGGGGAAGAGCTCCTTGCCTGGGCTTTGCTCCCGAAATCCACTCTCAACTTGCCCTCCTCCACCAGGACAGTGAGAGCTCTCGTTGAAGTGGAAGCCTTTGCATTGAGGGCCGAGGATCTAAAATTTGTTGCCAATCAGTTCAGACGGCTACACAGCAAGAAGCTGCAGCACACCTTCCGGTTCTACTCTCACCATTGGAGAACGTGGGCAGCCTGCTTCATACAGGCAGCCTGGAGGCGGCACAAGCGCCGGATGACCGCGAAGGATCTCGCCACGATGGAATCTTTTGCTTTGAGTGAGGCAAGGACGGAAGACGAAGAATATGAGGAGGAGAGCAGTCAAAGTCAAACGACCAGTTCTTCGCTCAACTCATCAGACCACCAGCAGTCCACACTGGGAAAGTCACACCTCGGGGTGATGATATTGGCTTCCAGGTTTGCTGCTAACACAAGGAGAGGAGCTCAGAAGGTCAAAGATGTTCGTCTGCCTAAACTGCAGAAACCTGAAGAGCCCGACTTTTCAGAAGAGGTCGATGATTAGTGTTCTGTAAATAGGAGGGTGGGAAATTTTCAGCACATTGTGATTTTGGTTATATTTATACTGCTGCTACAATGTTGAAGTGGATTTGTATGTGCTATAAAAGTATATAACAGCTACTCTGTTAATTTAGTTATATGCACTGCATTCAACAAAGTTCTGATGTTTCTGTTATGCATTGTTGGTGGAGAAACTTCCAAGAGCATTGAAGCTGATCGGTTATCAGGGAATATAACTCAACATTCATTGGAATGAAGTAATGAAGCAAATAACAAAGCGAAGTATACCAGCATAATTAGAATAACTTGGTTCTGCATCTGATTCTTTTTAAAAGCATATTAGAATCATAATCACTTCTCTTGTTGCCCACAATATCACTTGTCTTTTCTATAACTGTTTTTTAACCTTAAAGAACACCCTCCACGGCTCCACCATACCCAACCACCAGCACTCTAAACCAAACCCTGGAGGTAACATGTCAATACCAAACTTAAGTAATGCAAAGTAAAAGACTTTAGTTTCAATTGGAACTCACTATGCCATTTTCAGAGAAATCTTAAGGTTCGAACTCGAAACCTTTTTTTAACCAAAAACACCTAAGTTGAATTGAAAGTTGCAATATTGGCCAACATTTTGCCTCCATTGCATGTTTGTGTAAGTTCCAAACTCGCACATTTAGGGCTACGGACTAGACACTGCTTCTAATATTCTTACATTAATAACCAATTCATCCTTCTACAACCAATTTCTCACTTCTCTCATTTGGATATCCCAAAATAAATCACAATTTTTAATAGGCAAAATGTCATTAATAGTGTAATACCCTCACTTTTTGTTTGCGTTTTGCTCTCTTTTTTAGTTTTATATACTTTGTTGAAAGGAGGAACTGGGGAAGGGGGAATACCGAATAGGGATGGACTCGGGCCGGGCGGCCCGGCCCGGAACCGGCCCGGCCCGGTTACTGTTTGAACCGGCCCGGCCCGGGAACCGGTCCGGGGGGCGGTTCGGGTCGGCCCGGCCCGGTTACTGTGCGGTTCGGGCCCGGGCCCTTTGATTGGCGAACCGGCCCGCCCGGTTCGGGCCAAATTAATTTTTTTTTTTTTTTTTGAATTTTTTTTAAGTTTTTTGGGTTGGGCTTGGTATTTTGGTCCATTTGGGGTGGTTTGGGGTGAGGGGGGAGGGTTGGGGGTTAATTAGGTAAAGCCAAAAAAAAAAAAATAGAACCGAGGCCCGGCCCGGACCCGGGATTACCCGGGCCGGTTCGAGGCCTCCCATTTCTGAACCGAGGCCCGGCCGGGCCCAGGCCCGAACCGGGCCCGAACCGGAACCGGTCCACCCATAATACCGAATTGTGTAATACCGAATTGACAATTTGACACACATGAAGACGCATAGTATTTTAGCAAAGACTAAGTCACTAAACTGCAATAACATTCATACCTTGATTTGTTTTTGGACATATGTCAAAATAATCTTTTTTATGATATTGGTGCAACACCAATATGGATATAAAAATGAAAAATATAAATAAAAATGGTTTTAAGGAATGAATGTTAACCAAGTGGCAACTATGCTTTATTTTTAACAAAATTACATTCATTCTAAAATTATACAGGGCATAATAATATTTAAAAAAATAGACAACAATTTTCAATATGACACCAATATTACATAGAGGGCATAACAATATTACATATTACATATATACAGTCTCAGGCTACACTAGTAGCATACTAGCATGATATACAAATCTTATATGTTACAGTAATGATCTAACAAAAAAAAACAAATCAGAATGGAATCCTGTGACACAGAAATTGTTGTTACAACCAGGGACCATCCCAAAATGGATCGCCAACCAGGGACCATCCCAAAATTTGTTATTACAATTGATTTATGGTACATTCTTGTCAACGTCATAAAATTCAATGTTCTTGTATTTCTGGGATATGATCTCAGCCTGCACTTTCCTTGCCGTGTCGGTTGCACAGCCAACAAGAATAAGAACAGATGTGCCTGCAAACCCCCGAAAAGCAGTAAGGTGTGTCCCTTGCTCAATCACAACAGGCCCAGCAGCCAGAAGAGCCAAAAACACAGAACCAAGCACTGATATTCGACTTAAAACCTGCGTAAACAGATTAATTAAGGTGGGCCTGCCCTTAAATAGCTAAGCGTAGTTACTATTCATTTATTAGCTAAAAACTAAGATGTTACCATTCTGATGAAGGCGGCAGTGCTTTTTCCAGGGCGGACAAGTGGGATGGAAGCACCTTGTCGCTTCAGTTGTTCGCTCACGTCATCAGGGTCGAGTTGCAGGAAGGTGTAGTAGTAATTGAAGAAGGCAATCAAAAGCACATTTGTTGGGAGATACAGAGAACCTAAGTGAGAAAACATACTTGGCTTAGTTCTACACGCTGATGGTATGTTTAGATGAGAGGATAAATTGACATGAGGGAAAGTGAGATGATGTTTGTGTACTTGTAGAAAGACAAAAAAGAACCTTATATTAAAATTTTGATAAACATTAATAAATAAACTCATGGACTGAGTAAAGAATTGTAAACTAGGCTTCTCTTTCATGGGAATGAAATGAATCGTACTTTTGGCAAAAAATAATAATAAATACGGTCATATATTTGTGCAAATAACTTGTGTTTTACTCCTGTTTGAAGTATACTTATTTAGAAAAAAAAAATATACAACGAGAGGGGTAGAGATTGGGGGTGGGAGGCTTCTCTCTTCTCAAAAGAGAGGGATACATAAATTTTATGGGCAGCACTTTATTTTCTTGCTTCACTGTTTTTTTCTAGCCAAGTAATTACCATACAAACAAGCATCACTGTTGCTTTACTCATTCAATCTGCTCTAGTGTTTAATGCTCGAATTCCCCATGTAAAACACAAATTCTGCCCATTGACTGTGTGATTCAAAATATGTTGTTATGACTAATCAAGCACCTAATACCCTATAAGAACAAATTTAATTGTTGAATGAAACACACTTCTTTAGCATTTTTAATAATTTAGATAGTTGACAAATTTACGCGTATGTTTAATCATAACAATAGCATAAGTGTGTGATAGATTGTTGTTCCAGGATGTTAGGTGCTTGGCAAACTTATGTTAATGATTAAATATTTTGTTCCAGGGTATTTCAAGCATAGAAAGTGAAATGATTTTTTTTTTTGGTATTTACTAGGGGTTCGTCTAGAAATTGGTTCCTAGTTTTGCCTTTTTCTGCCAAGCGTAGCATTGTAGCAATACCATAACACTCACCAGCAGGAGTTAAAGCGGCTGCTGCATTTTTTAGCACTTCCACACCAGTGAATCGTGCGAGGGTGCCCGGAAGAGCCATAGATGATGTAGAGAAGATAATTGGCATAACTCCTGAACCATTTACCTGCTCAAAATTAACACCTCATGCAATCAATTACTGCACAATATATGAACTGAGATGACTTGGTGCTCAAAACTAAAACATATGACAAACATAATTTTAAAGTTACACCATGAACATACTAAACTCTTTTTTTGGTTGGGGGGAATGGCAGGGGGCATATTACTAATAAAACAATCAGTGACAGGAGAAATGCAAATAATAGCAAGCTAGTCCCAAAAGTGCATAGTACGTATACCGTGGTAAAAAAATGTGATGATGGTAAGTAGATGCACTCATATCCACATAAAATGATTAAGGATATACCAATCACCAATGTGACATCAAAGCGCATGGTATAAGGAATACTAACTTTAAAGGGCAAGTACGCAGATTTCTGCGTGCCTCCAGTCCTGCTAGTATATCTTGAGGCATAGTTAAGTGGAATTTTCCTCTCTGCTTCCTAAAAAAACTTGATAGCATTAGTCTGTTGCCATGTTTTTGATAATTTAAAGAACAGCAAATATTTAAATATATACCTGTACATAAACTATGCTGAGGACTAAAAGGATGAAGGAAATAACAATTCCAGCAAGCCCAATATAGTTACCATCTTGATATGCCTCTGCAACTGTCCTACCAAAGGATGCTGGCAAGTAGGAGATGATATTTGTGAATATTAAAAGAGATGTGCCATTTCCCAGTTTTAAGTCGGATATTCTTTCTCCAATGTATGTTGTAAATATTGAACCAAGAGTCAATAGAGCAACAGTAGAAAGAACCCACTGAGTATTGAAGTCATCCACATAAGGCCGAAGGTACAATGCTTGCCCAATTGCCTGCCACAGCAAAACAAAAATGGCATTGAATACGTGCAAGGAAAAATGGAATTTACAATCATACTTCTATATTTCTAATTTATATACATGTAACCCTGGTTTGGTTGAGGACATTTGAGGGGGGGTAGGAGAAAAGTGGTGCGGTGGTTTGCGTTTGGTTGGGTGAGTTGGAGGGGGCAAGCTGTGTGCTCCTCCAAACTCATCATGTCTCACTCCCTTTGGAGTTTGGAGGGAGGGAGGGAGAGGGGAGGGGGTTGGAGGGGTGTTTTATATATAGATTATGGTTTGTATAGATAGGCTACAATATAACTTTAAATACAAAAAATATAACATTTTTGCACATTTTTCTAAAATATCAATTCCTCACAACACCTCCCGTTTAACCATAACATAACATTTTTTCCATATCTTTCATGTTCCCCTCCCCTTTCCTCATTTCTTCTTCCCTCCCCTCCCCCTATTGAACTACACAGCCTTAAGGAACACAAGTTTAATAGAATTCCTCATTTAGCCACTTCAGTGCTTCACAGGGAGTTGACATATATGATCCCTGTTGGGAAGAAACCCAAACCAGCAGGAAGCATCATTATGCATAAAAAGGAAAAAATGGTAGATTTATATACAGAAGGTTATGTGGTATTGTCTCTTCAAGTAAACCATTTTTTAATACATCGGCTTTTAATACATCGGAAAGAATTTAAGTAAACTATATAAGGAAACATAAAATGTCATTACCTGTACTATGGCGAACCCTACAGATGCATAGCGGGTATACTGAAGCACTTTCTTCCTTCCAGCTTCACCTTCTCTTTTCTGAAGTTCTTGCAGCTTGGGATTGATTTGACCAAGAAGCTGAAAGACAATCTGTGCATTGATGAAAGGAACAATACCGAGGGAGCATATTCCAAGTCTACCAATCCCGCCTCCAGAAAATGAATCCAAAGTGCTCAATATACTATTCTGATCTAAATTGCCAACAAATGCGTCCCTATTAACCCCACCAAGTGGTACATATATACCAAATCTTGATAATGCCAAAAACCCCAATAGTTTGAGAAATTTCCCCGGTAAAGGGCCTTTGAAGAAGTCCCCAAAATCAATATTAGTATCCTCAATTGCAGCTGGAAAAGTAAAAGACAAAGTAAAACAAAATCCTGTTAAAGGCCATATGTGGTGCATGTACTACATGGCATAGAAATATAAAATGCTATATGCTTTTAAATTTTCACACACACGACAAGCTCAAAGACTTGTATGAGTGGAAGTATGGGTACTCAAATTCTCAACCTTAAAACATAGAGAATAATAAGGTTGGAAGTTCATCTCTTATATGAAGGTGGCATGCGGGTAAGTGATACTTTAACAAATAAGAAGCTATAAACATACCGGCAACTCTTCTTGCAGAGGAAGTTCTCCCTTTTCTGGTATCTGAGGTACTTTTAAATGCTTCCAGTACAAACTCTATTGCACTTTCCCAAGCAGTGCTTACCTGATCACATCTGGAGGAAGAAAGAAGCAACAACAATCACCACAATTGATTTAACTAGAGAAGACGGAGCTCCAGGAGAATTCTGAAATTTCAAGATTGAGTTTTTTATTTTAAAAATTCCCAGTATTTAATGTTTTATACTATTTATAACCTTGGATAGGATCGCAGGTTATTCAAAATGCTTATAATCATAACCGTGATAGTGAGCATTGGTAATTGTGAGTTGGGACAGCCTAAATTAGATTCTTTTGATTCTAATTTCTCAAGGTCAAAATCCCAGTGTGGGACGAACTAAATCGGAAATAAAAAGACTAAAACTTTGTAAGAGTAACAGCAGAAAAGCAATTCCTGGTTCCAACCCAGTGTAGCTAACTAGTAACTAGTTAATCATGAAGTCCTAGCCTGAAACAAACAAATCAGCTGACACGCAAAACTGTATAGTTACTGTAATCAATAATTAACAAACAACGTGGTGAATACTGGTTAAATTTGGGATGCCCAAAGAGGAACTCCGTTTAAAACTGCAATACCTGCTTTTGGGATTAAGGAGAGCAAGATTCAGCTTTCCATGGACACGGAGGCCGCTCGCTCTACAGATGAGTCGGCTGTTTTGGTTTCTCCGGGGAAGAAGGGGGGTTGGAGAGTTGAAGATGAAACCTTGAGAGAGGGAAGAAACTTCTCTGGCCCTTATCAACATTGCCATCCTACTATTGTTACTCCATCTTGATTTTCAGGTGGAGTGGAGTCGCACAAATACACGGCCGGCCTTCGGGTTTGGGCAGTTGAGGGTGGCTGACATTATCTCTCTTTTTAAACACAAAACTGGAGAACATTTTGTTTATTGAATACGTCAGGGATGCGTATACCATACAGCCCGCCTGTACTGCTGGTACAGCCTGTGTCATTTTTGTAAATTTTGTGAAGTTCGTGATTTCTCTTAAATGAGCATTGACATAATTTGGATGAGCATCGAGTTTGTTATTCTGAGTATTAAAAGCATAACAATGAGCACTTGTGATCTCTGCTTCATATCTTCTAATTCAGTTTCTTTTTATTAATTTCCGTTTATAAAAAATTCTTAAATAGTGTTTATAATTAATTTCAATATGTCAATCTAATGTAGCATGCTATGTTTGATATGTGCATCATTTTAAAATGAGCATAAACCAGTACCAAATGAGCATACATAATTTTCAAAATGAGTATCAAAAAATTCAAAAACTCATTTGTGTATGCTCATTGATTTTGGGCGTTATAGTTGATATGTGCAACCTTTTAAAATGAGCATAAAACAGTACCAACTGAGAATACATAATTTACAAAATGAGTATCAAATATTTAAAAACTCATTTGTGTGCTCATTCATTTTGGGCGTTATACTCATTTGAGTTTAACATAAAACTCATTTTGAAACATGCATAAATATGACATTTTAAAATGAGTATTGCACTAATATACAATGAGTATGCATAAATTACGAAATGAGCATTCAACAAACTCATTTGAAATGACTACTATGCTCATTATTTCATTTGTTAAGACTCATTTTCATAATATCTCACATAACAGGTTTATAAAAAAATGTCATAAGGGTTTGTGGATGTCAGGATGGTTGTAGTTAGCCTATAATTGCAAATAAGATGGATAATGGGGTCAAAAGGATGTTTTGAATGTCGAGAACTTTGGTGAGAGGCGTTTGACAGAGGGGGTTTTGATGTGGGCCGGGGCTTCACTTTTTGGAACTACAAAGTGGATTCATCTTCGATGTTCATCGAAGAAGCATGTGAAGAAGCAGGTGAAAAATTTCTGGTGCGAAGCTCGATCGATCTTCTGGTGCGAGGGGAAGAAGCGCAAAAGCAAAAAAAAGACCGGCTGTACCGTGCGCACGGTACATCCGGCTGTAGGATGTAATTTACCATACCTCAGTCTGTACATATAATAATAAAATAAAAATAATGTGATTAAAGTTGGAGTTTTTTCCCGAAATAATGCTAATTAAATAAATAATTCCCAAAATACTGTTAGGTTAAAAATAATTCCCAAAATACTATTGGGTTAACCGTGGTTAAGGAAAGCCGCCACTTGAAGTGGTGACTCTTCTCTTACAGTACAAAATCCGCCACTCCAAGTGGCGATTCTTCTTTTACAACACATTTTGTATATATATAAAATGCATTATGTTTCAAGAACTTTTTAACTATCTTCCTGATTGAAGTTTGAGCTGAAATTTGGTATGACTAAACTAGACTTGATGAGGAACTAACATGATAAAAAATCATCAAAAAATTCCACTGGGAAGACCCTCTGATGGTGTTGTCCGCACAGGGAATCCGTTCAGGACGTCGTGACAGGTATGGGACATTTTTATGAAATTTGAGTTGCTTCCGAGTCGAATTTTTTGATGACATTTGGTGATCGTGTTCTTCCTAAAGTGTAGGTTATGTTCACCGAATTTCAGATTATAATTTCATCAAGAAGTTAGTTAAATTATTTATTGAAAAAAATTGCATTTTTAGGCCTAAAAGTTGCAATTTTAGGCCTCTTTCATTTGATCTATTTCCGGGTCGAAATATTTGATGAAATTTGGTGAGCATGTTCACTTGGAATGTAGATTATGTCCACCAAAATTTAGATTAAAATTCAATCGGGAAGTTAGTTAAATAAATTTTTAAAAATTGCATAATTTTGTAGGCCCAAAATGCAGCTTTTTTCAATAAATTATTTAACGAACTTCTTGATTTAATTTTAATCTGAAATTCGGTGAACATAACCTACACTTTAAGAAGAACATGGTCACCAAAATCATTATGTTTTAGTTGCATGTGTTATATATGATAGGCATTACTTTGAGCATTTCTATCAATAGTTTGCATGTTGTAGGATTACACATTCTTCTCTAGATTACACTCTGAACTTGAATTTACCGTTGCCTTCCAGTCTTCCAGACACGAGCTCAAGTGAATTGGGCGAAACTGTGATTCTGCAATTGGAACTTAGAGTAATAGTCCGGTTTCTAAAGTTGATATGGGTGTTGAAACTGTTTCTGTGGCCATAAACTGCCCAAAGAGAATTCAAATTTATTTAGTAAGTGGAAGAGAAAGAATTTTTTGTAAGGGCATAATGATGGCAGTGATAGCTTGAATCTGCAGTTGGTTCCTTTCAATCGGGAAGTTAGTTAAATAAATTTTTGAAAATTTCACAATTTTTTAGGGTTAAAAATGCAGTTTTTTCCCAATAAATAATTTAACTAACTTCTTGATTTAATTTTAATTTGAAATTCGGTGAACATAACCGAAGAACATGATCACCAAATTTTATCAAAAAATTCGACTCGGAATCACCTCAAATTTCATAAAAATGTCTCATTTCTGTCACGACGTCTTGACCGAAACCCCGTGTGGATAACACCATCAGAGGGTCTCCCCAGTGGAATTTTTTGATGAAATTTTTTGAGCATGTTTCTCATTAAGTCTAGTTTATTCATACCAATTTTCATCTCAAAATTCAATCGGGAATATGGTTGAAAAATTCTTGAAACATACTGTGTTTTATATATGTACAAAATGTGCTGTAAGAGAAGAGCCGCCACTTGGAGTGGCGGCTTTTGTACTATAAGAGAAGAGCCGCCACTTCAAGTGGCGGCATTCCTTAACCACGGTTAACCCAACAATATTTTGGGAATTATTTTTAACCCAACAGTATTTTGGGAATTATTTATTTAATTAACATCATTTCGGGAAAAAACTCTTAAAGTTGTACATAAGCGATACAAATAATAGGAATCTCAAATTTATTTATTAAAATGTAAAGTTAGGATGAGTTTTAGTATTATTTTTTAAAATATGAGTCCATTTTTTTTATTTCTAACTTTTAAATAATTAAATTATTATTTTTACATCAAAAGCAAGTACGTAGTAGTATACTTTGTAAAAAATATTACCAGCAGAACTAAAAGTAGTAGTCTGAAATTTCATACTAGTAATACACATAAATCTCAAATGCACTTGACCATTACAATAAAACCAACAAAATTGACAAAACTAAATTGTTGCATTAGAACCTCCATGATATACAAAAATTTTAGAGAGCAATATATGACTCCTGTATGAAGTCACATAGGCTATGTGGACATCATCATCTATTTGGTGGAAACCCCTACTAAAAAAATGTGTGGTGATGGTGATGCCCACATGGGCATATATGACTTCTTAAAACTTCTCATGTTTAGGGTTGTTAACAAACCGAGCTTTTATTGAACTATTCGAGTTCGAGCTCGGTTTCGAACCTTTTTGTGGAAGACCGTCTGTCCACCATAACCAGATTGTTTACGATCATAATGATGCTTCCCCTAAGCCGCATGAATATCCTTTCCCATTTTGTACTGAGTGACCTTATGCAATGTGTGTTTCTTGCCTTCCTTGGACTTGAAGAATGTCTTTTTGGTCTTTGGAACGTTCACCATGGCGGCAAGAGATCGAGCAGAGAGCTTGGTGGTAGGCTGGTAGCTAAACGCGGCCTTAAATTAATTAAAAACAGTAATTGTCCATTTTTTGTTATACATCAAAATGATTACTTTTAAAAACAAAAGTTAGGTAAAATGACTCAAAAGTAGTGGTGGACTCGGGTCGGGCCACCTGGCCCGTGAACCGGCCCGGCCCGGTTCACCAGTCCGGGTACCGGGCTTTGACCCAGCCCGAGGGGGAGACGGTTCCGGGCACGGTTCCTTCAAAATGAGACCCGGCCCGACCGGGTCCGGGCCCAGTTCGGGCCAAATTGATTTTTTTTTTGTTTTTTCATTTTTTTTGTGTTCCACCCGGGTTGGGCTTGATGTTTAGGAGGGGTGAGGGGGGTCAGGGATACTTAGGAAAGCAAAAAAAAAAATAACCAAAGCCGAGGCCCGGCCCGGCCCGGACCCGGTAGCTACCCGGGCCGGTCCCGAGCCCAAGTATTCAAAACCGGCGGCCCGCCCAGGCCTAGGCCCAGCCCGGACCCGACCCGGCCCAAGTCCAACCCTGTTCAAAAGTGCGAGTATAGTCTTTTTATTTTAAAAATAGAAGTAATTTATGCTCCATTTTCATATTATAACATTTTCCTATAGTCCCTAATAATACTTATTTTATTTTATTATTATAAATATAAAAATATCTTATTAAAGCATCATGGCAAAGGTAGGGTATGAAGAGATACTCCTATTTTTAGAATTTAAAACTTACTCCTCCATTCTTGCAATTTGGCTTTTATTTACTTCTATTTACAGAATTTCTCTTAAAAATCATAATTATTTGTAAAAATATCACCACAAAAATTCCATATAACAAGATGATTAAGATTTTACTCATCCTACGTAACAAAATGTATAAAGAGCGTAAATATATTTAAGTTGTTGGGGAAACTGAATTTATGGGATGAATACATTATTTTCGTATTAATAGAGTCAATATTTGAATTTATTGGAGGCTACCGGTAAATGTTGACCATTTACAGGTAGCCTTACAGATCGGTATGGGGAATGAAACTACAAAGTGGGCAATATGTGGTGACTGGTCACAATGGGAGACATTACGAACAATGCAGCCAGGCAAAACTCACGATATAGAAAAAGATTTTAAAAAAACTATTAAAAAAAAAAAAAAAAAAAAAACTGCAATGTTGATCCATCCATCCAAACAGGCAATTATCTCCAGCGGTTCTTTTCTCATTATACTTCATGAGGGATCTTCAACACTACATGCTGGAAGAGAATGATATGGTCATCGCTATGTTTGTACAAAAGCTAATCAATAGAAATTACATCATTCACCAAATCACCATGTTACCTTGATCTGAGTTCGGTTGTATGTGTAGGTGATATGGACTGATCCTCCACCACTGGCCTGGATGACAGCTGGATAAGAGAACTCCATCCCCGTGGTATCCTCTAGTGTTGCAACCTCGTGCCACGAGTCTCCCTCATCTTCAGAGAGTCCAACTTTGAGGATGCCTCTGGAGATTGTGTTGTAAGCTAAAACGAGCCGACCATCATTTAGTCTAACGCCATCGATTCCTGATAACGACATTACAAGGTTGGTAACTTTGTATTTAGAATTTAGTAAGCAATTTCAAGTCATTTTTCTATGGAAAGGAAAAGTCAGACAGTGTTCCCCCCCTTGACGGGATTTGATGTCAATTGCAGCAACTCACTCTTTTAATTCATATATGCCTGAGCTAACCCAACCTTAAGATGCTCTTTTATGTTAAAAAAACTTGTTGAGCATGTCAACCCAAAAGTCCCACATCATAAATGAATGAAGAATTCCCCAAATATAAGAGCCTGCCTAACTTCCCCTACATTCATATGAGGCTTCTTTTAAGGTGCCCTCATACTGATGAGAGAGTGGAGTCACATTTAGGGTCCTAACACAAATCTTTACAGGTACACTCTTGCAAATATGTATATATCCTGATAGTTGCCATAAAAAACCCTCTCTTATCCACTAGTCTCTCATTAGATGCCTAAATTCTTGTCCTCTACTGAAACCCCATCCTAAATCCATTATGAAATTATGATCCTGGTGCTATATGGCTGCTATAGAGATGACATGCTGCCAGGGGTGTGCCAGTGTCAGACCATGAAGGTATCTACCCTTGTGGAAAAGTTGCACAATCCAGAGGAGTTGACTTGCTGCCAGGGGTGTGTCAATTTGCTATAGAGATGAAAATTATTAATGAATACAGACATTACACTAATATGCTCGATCATTTTACTCTTGGCATTGGCGAAAATTATTAATACAGTGTTATGGTCGATCATTTTTCCACCATTTTTAATGGAGCCAAAGACTCACTATTTTTTGGCTTGGGAATATGATGTAATAAAGCAAAATGGCTCACTAAACTGTTCGTGCTTCTTTGTTATGAAATAACAGTCAGTCTATGCAATTTTCGACTCGATTTTCACTATGGGTCATTCGGGAACAGTCTCTCTGTGCTTTAGAACTGGGGTAAGAATTGTTGGGAGAATGGCTCTTATTGATTAAACTGTCCAGCCCAAATTACTTTCTATTCAAGGGCCTGTTTTCTGTCTACGCCCAAATATATCTCTTTTCATATTTGGGAAGAAGTGGCAGACCTGGACTCTCCTCTTCCGGTTTTAATTCCACATACAAGGTAGTGGAGAACTGATTCCGTTAAATGCTCCAGGATATGTGCGAGGTGCATCCCTTTGATCAGGTAAAAAATCCCATAACTTCATCTATTTTTCTGGCCAGAGCAGTTAAGAATACTTCTTTAAATTGAAGGATGATTCCCTGAAACTACATACTCGAATCCCCTTCCTCTTCTCAAAGTCTTTTTCCTTTGAGCAATTGTATTGTGCAAACTCCATCCTTTCAACCATGTGTGCTCGTGTTTGAAAGTAGCCGTGTAAACCTTGGGGAACGAACCGGCAGTATACGATTAGCACAGGAGTCGTGCCGAATTTCGTTTTCAAGACAGTGGTTTCCACGACACAGCTTGAATCCTTCTCTATTGATAAGTTTCCTGTTGTTTTCCTCTCCTTTTGCTATTAATAGTTGCTGCTGGTTTTCCAACAGTAAGACTGCGTACATCCGACCCCACCTTACCCCACCGTAGGTGGGAGCCTTTGCGGCACTGGGGTAATGATGATGATGAGTGTTAATGTGTTATGGTCGATCATATTACACTAATACACTGTTATGGTGGCATAGGTCATCGGTTAATGTTATGCTGAAAAGAATAAAATCCATTCAAACTGCACAATCCAACCTCGTCTAGTCATGATAAATGTTGAATTTGTTCCGCATTCCCTAAATATGAAATACCAAATCAACATATAAGATATTGATTCGGCCACTCCTAACCGATTAACCTTTTGTAGTGTGGTGAACCCAAATCCTAATACGAAGCTAGGCGCTAGTGCTTTTTACAACATTGATTCCACTAATAACAACAGGTGTACAAGATGCATCATCCTTCAATATACATTGCTTTGAGGCACTAAAACATCCACTTGTCAATACAGTGAATAAAAGTATATATTGCTAACCTGAGTTAGGGTTCGGCAATTCGGTAGGCTTTGCATAGCTCCAGTTATAACCTTCATCATGGGACTCTGACATGAAAATTTTGTCAAGGCCGCTAAATGATCGCAGTAAAACTCGCAAAGTACCATTTGCAGTCTGGTATGGAACAGGTTGGATCACACAGAGAGTTTTTCCCTGAATGTATATCGGTCCATACTTTCTCCATGTTCTGCCAGCATCAATAGTCATCTGAAACTCACAGGAATTTGAGTCAAAAGGGTCCAAGTCTTTTCCATGTTGGATATGTAAGTATGTAACATGTTGGTTAAACAGTTGACTCTGTTTTGATGAGATCCATACCTCCATCCACGCTCCCCAAGAATTCCAGCTCTCAACAGAAGATCCACATAGCAATGTTCCGTTTTCTAGTAACAAAGGCTGGACAAAAAGCACATGCAGCTTATATATATTCAATTTACAAACTAAAGGCATTCGAATAAAGAGCTTCATTTGTTAAGTCATCTAACATGAAAAAATAAGGCTTGGATATATTTGTAGTCCCTGCAAGTATCGTGTTCTTTGTTTTAGGTCCGCCACTCCACCTGCATTTTTCTTTTGGTTTTTTCATCCATGTAATTTACAATACTTTCTTTTTTACACCAACGCCAACTAACCTCCGACATGACTTTTATGTTTTGTGCTGAAATATGTTTAAACTTTATATAGAGAAAGTCATTGAGACCTAATTCACAAATGTGGATGATTAGCTTCATTTAGCTTTAATTCCACTAATAGTTTCCCAAAAACTTATAACAAGTTAAGGAAGAAAATTTAGAATGAACTTATGCAAATAACATTAATACCCTTTCTGAATGGAGATTGTTCGAGAGTTAGAGAGATTAAAAAGAAAATAACTTAAATAGTATTTATGAAAAGTTTAAAAAAAGATTGCAGGTTCTAAAACAAAAAATGCAATACTTGCAGTGACTACTCCTATCAAATTAACTCTTTATATGACCAAACCTCAAATCTTAATATGAAACAAATGAGTCTTACCTAAAAAAACAAAAAAAAAATGAGTCATACCTTGTTCTTAATTGGTCCTAATATACCAGGAGGAAGTTGTTCTCTTTCCTTCCACGTCATACCACCATCGTAAGATCTCTTCATGCAACCGCTCCAGCTGTATTCATCAATCACATAACTAACTCTAGACAGTATCAAAATCAAGCTCTCATTTGAAAGAGATCCACACCTAAATTTATTCACCTTTGAACAGTTGGCCCAATTTTATAAAACAAAAGTAATTCACTGGAAGGAAGCATGAAAAGTACAGGATTCCACATTGGGACACCCAGTTCCTCATCGGCTACAACAGGGGCATGCCATTTCCCATCCTGCTTAAGTAAATGAAGTAATAAAGAATACACCAGTGAAGATTTTTTATATGGTCTAATTTGGCCACATTATACAGGAAACGAGCAGGTCTATATTATCTCTCTATTTCTAAAACTGTCACTTTTGTAGGAAATTTGTGTGCATATATATACATGTTCCAAAAGTACAAGAGATGTAGAAGGATGCTTATGAAAATGTGCAATTGATGCACTTCAGATATATCTACATGACATTGGCAAGGAGAATTGTAGTCATAATGTAGTTTTTTAATCTTTAAATAAAGGGCAGCGTGGTGCACATTGGTTGGATTCCCCGCAAGGTGAGGGTCCGGGAAAGGGTCCCACCACAAGGGTGTAAGAGGCAAGCTTTCCCTTGTGTTTTATTCTTTATTTTAGAAAATTTTATTGTTTCCTTAACCAGTATTTAAACCTTGTCAGAAAGTACATAAGAATATTCATAGAAGAAAGCAAGTTTCATAGTAAAAGATCACCTTGTAAGTTTGCATCCAAATCTTGACATCAGTGTCCCCCTCAGCTGTGCCGCCAAAATAAGCCACCAAGAATTGATCTTTACTGACCTAAAAGCATTTTTGAAAAAAAAAAGTAAATAAATAAATGTGTGGGTTTTATTACAATACATGTGCAATTTTGCAACCCTAACACCGTGGAACTGGGACTCATGTTATTTTTAATTTTTCGCTTTGTATTTAAAATGATAATACAAACCAAACACATATAAGAGACACTAAAATTGTAATGATCTAGACAAATTTAAAAAGATAATCACAAAAATTTTGATATGTCAATTTGAAAGTATGGAAGGACTTGAAGGGGGTGCCATTTACCTCAACAATAGTGGAAGCATGACAGTTTGTGAAGGGAGCTGAATTGGCCTCAAAGGTGAACTCTTCAACTAAGAGCGGCCAAGGGCTATTACCACCAATGTTCTTCATTTCAAAAGGGTGTTCAATCTTCGTCTCTCTACTTCCCTGGATCACAAAACCAACTATAAATATAAAATCGTTATTTCAAAAACCAAAGATTTACATGACTAGCTGGAAATTCGGAATTGAACAATTTCTGCTTATGAACTGAAGGGCAACAAACTCAAAAGGGAATATTCGAAATGAAAAAATAGGAAGCATGAAACCATGAAATCAAAAGATCGATGGGATAAAGTGAAAAAAGTCTCTTTTAAAATGAAAAAGTACCCAAATGTAAAGACTCAAACAGACGACGCAAGAAATCAGATTGTGAAACTTCTTTATCTCTCCAAACATTTTAATAATTCCATGCAGTCTGGCCACAGGAGTGCATGAACAAGAGGCATCTATACTTCCGATTTATCTCAAACTATAATCAACTTAATTTGGACTGTTAGAGTACCTCGAGTGGAAAGCAGGCTGGATGACTGTTGCAAAATCTGTTTTAGAGTGTTCTTTCTGTTTTTGCTTTACAAAGTTAAATTTTTTTAACGGGCGATACTAATTAAAATTAAATACATTGAAATTAAAAAGTGTATGTAGGTAATTATAGCCCGGTGATGTCAAAAAGGATGACATCTCATCCCCAGATCCTTAGGACTCCCAACACTGACCGGACAGTTAAATGAGAGCATGTAAATTGAACTTTAATCACAAGCTAACAGATAAAGAGTGAGACTCTGACTCTGACACTTGCTGAGATCCTATGCATTTTTTATCATAGTAAAGGTAATAATAAATTGAATGCACCGTTTGACTTTGCAAAAGTTGATGTAGTTCTGGTTGAAGTGGTTGAATTGATTGATTATGCTGATTTATGGGGGAAAAATCAAAATGTATTTTATTAATAAAATAAAGAAAAATTATGTGAAAAACAGCTAAAATGATCATCTATGGTAACTTCGTCAATACTGTCAGAAATTAACTTCTAGCTTACTTTTTTTCTTATTACTCCGTATTACACAATTTAGCGCGAGAAATCAAAAGTTACGTGTTTGGTGAAAATTTGATCGATAAGCTTTATAAGCCGAAAAATATGGTCACTAAATGGGTTTTTAGTGTTTTTCACAATGTTTTAGATTTTAACCTAAATTCACACTAAAACCAAGTTTTATTGAATACTTTTTTGATCCAAAATTGAAAGCTGATAGGCTTTTCGAGAAAATTATAACAGAACACTCGAGTAGAAAATAAAAAATATACAAATATGAAGTGTTAAGAGAAATTTTCTGTTAGAAATACTGTGTCTGTCATTTCAATTACAATTGTCTTTTATAAGTGTTTACATAAAATGTAACTGCTACACAACATTAATGTGATATTAACTACAAAATTAATTAGCACATTGGTTGTCTCCAGACTATTGCTCTTCCGACTGGTAGGTTAGACGCTTGAGTTCCCTCCCCGGTGGCCTGATTAGTTGCTCCCTACTGGACTGGTAGCTCGACTTCAGGCACGGCTAGTAGGCAGACTCACAACTAGGCTGAAAGGGAGGCTACCGGGTGGACTGATAGGTAGGCCCCAAACCGGACTAGCAGGCTCCGTCCTGGCTGGTAGGCAAGCTCCCGTTCAGGCTACTAGGCAGGCTCTTTTACAAATGCTAGGTTGGCTCCTTGTTGAGCTGGTAGGCAAGCCCGACTGGAGTGATAGGCTGGCCGTCTGCCTTGTTGAACTTCCCTTTTTTGATGGGGTCTCTCGGTTAGATCGGTCCGAGTTCCTTTGTCATTCGGCCCACTAATTGGGCTATCCTAAGAGTGTTAAGACCATGGCTCCGAGCATGAGCCTGCTGGTCCATGTCGTGAGTTTGAACTCGCAAGTCTAAGTTTGAGATGATTAGACTCTGAATCTAGTCTCATAACCTCATCAACTCTAGTTATAAGAGAGGAAGATAGAGTATAGTACGGAGTAATTCTTAAAGTATGATGCTATATTTTTTTATAAGTTTTTGCGTTTACTTCTACTTTTGAAAAATAATTATTCTAAAAATCACTTGAAAAAATTGATCATGCTTAAAATGTGATTAGAAAAATGAAAAATAGCTCAAAATATGAGTGAAATATCATTAAAATTCTAAATAGGAGTAAATTTTTTTGCTTTCAAAATATGACTTATTTAGTCATGTTTAAATAATACGGAGTAATAAAAGAATGAAATTTTCTTCAAATAAAAGTTTATAGGTCTTATTTTTGTTTGAAATGATTGTACTTCTATTTGACAAACATTATCATGGTCTACTTCTATTTTAAGAATTTTCTCTTGTAAAAGTTTAAACACCTGAAAAAAATGTGTAAAAAGAAAACAAGTTTTTTTTTGGCTTAAGAACAAAAAGAATGTGTAAAACGAAAAACATGTTGGATTTTTTTTTTTGAAGGAAACATGTTAGAACTTAAAAATACTTTACTTACGGAGTACGTAGTACAGAGTATATTTTAACCAAAAAATATAACAAAACCGAATAACATTTTTTTCAAGCAAAAGTGCAAAACCATTACTTTATTTTCTTTTTCAAGTTAAAAGAGGAAATACAACATGGCCTTGGATTCATGTTTTGATTGGAAATGGCGCTTGGATTCTGCCCAAGCTCCACATCGCAACACTGCTACCTCGTCCAAACCAAGCTACAGAATAACCAAACCAATCTTTCGCCCCCTGTTAAACGAAGAAATGCCATTTTCCATAAAATAGAACCCTCCGGAAACCTGAAATTCGAAGTTAGAAACAACTGTTTTACTCCGGTTAAGGAGTGCAGTGGTTCCGATTTCGATTGGGATGAAGCAGAGGAAGTAGTTATAGAAGGAGAAGATGAAGATGAGGGATCTCCGTGGGAAGGCGCGGTGGTGTACGCAAGGAACCCCTTGGTTTCGCATCTGGAGTACTGTACAACCTTAGAACGGCTGGGTCTTGGGAAGCTTTCCACGAACATCTCGAGGTCCCGAGCTTCACTGATGGGAATTAGGGTTACCAAGGACGTCATAGATTATCCGGAGGGCACGCCGGTGCTTGTTTCTCTCGACGTGACGACTAAGCAGCGGAAAATCAGGCTCGACGGTATCATCCGAACCGCGATTACTCTTGGTTGCTACAGGTAGGGTAAAAAATCCCTCATTCCGCAGCATAAGATTCATTTTTGTTTTACCTTTTTTGCTATTGTTTAAGTTAAATTACTGTTTGCTGCCCTGGTTTCTTATATTCTCTGTGAAGTGTTAGGATGCAGAACCTGGTCTGTAGTTGAATTTCAACTAGTTTGTTTATCAATAGCTCCCTTTACAAATTACCATCATAATCTGTTGTTTCTCTTTTCAATAGCGGGGACCCAAAAGATGACAAAAAAAGGAATAAGAAATTGGGTTGAATTGTGTTGCATAGCAGTAGAGAAGGTCACAATGTAAGGTCAGTGGCCGAGCCCTAAATGTCATGTTAGGAGGCCGGGTTTAAAGCATTTTTTGCTTTAATGATGGGAATCAGGGTTACCAAGGGTCAGAGAAGTTTGATTTTTTGTATTGCTTATAAATATTTATACATATACATGTACATCACAATTTTTTTTCTTGGGGGCCAAGGCCTCCTCCAGCCCCTCCCTGTCTCCACCACTGTGTAAGGTTGATGGGCGGGGCATTAGGGTGCCCACCACCTCAGAAACATACCGTATACAGCTACCCAGTATGATCCAGACTGAGGAGTTATTACAAAGGATCTGCATTCATAGTAATCTTTTGGTGTGTTTCTAATAAGTTGCAATGCTCAAATTGCTGGAAGAAAACTCTTTAAAGCTGACAAATGGAATTTCAAGCAAAGTAAGGGTCCATTTGGCATGCGTTATTTGGCTGAAATGACTGAATTTTGTGTTTGGTGACATCCATTTCATTTGAGGAAAAATAAGCTAGTCGAAAGCTGGAATGGCTGAACCAACTGAATTGGTTGGATTAAAAGAGATTGGCGATTTGTTTGGCTGAAATAATCAATTGTGTATGTGAATGTGATAAAAATAAATTTGAGACAATAGAAAAAAGGGATAATTGTTTCAGTTGAGCTAAAATCTCAAACAAAAAGGCAAGGGTTGAGCTGAGTTTTTGCTTAAAAGTATTATCAGCATAATCAGCCAAATTATGTGGAGCTTGGTTATTATTAACAAAAATGCCAATTTTGTCAACCCTTTGAAGCTCACCAAACGGGCTCTTATTATGATTATTCTGTTGATAATCATTAATCAGCATTGAGCTGAATAACCAAGACAAGCAAGAATTGGCCACCAAACCGATCCCAAATCATTCTTCTGAATATTGTCATAGGCAGTCAATTGTACATACCATTAGGCTATTATAATCATCTTCATATTTCAGATTTGTTTTCTCTTCATGCTAAACTCCAGAATGCATTTAAGTTTGCCTAATTTTCTTCGCTTATCAGCTTTCAGTTTTTCTCTTCTTTTGTCACACTAGAGAAAAAAATTGAACCCATCTTATTGACTTATTGTTAACTGCATATTATGATTGAAGGTGTGGCGAACCAACTGCTGGGAGTATTTTGTCTAACTTCTCTCTCTTGCTGAGTGAAGAACCGATTGAGGAAGCTGAGAACTTGGACATGGGTACAATTTTTGGATCTATGGAAGAGGTAGACATAGATGGCAACGATTCTTTGATTGATTTGGAAGATCAACTGTATTTTCCTAGGGAAAAAAGAACCATTGACATCTCAAAGCATATAAGAGACCTGGTGCACCTAGAAATTACCATCAATGCCATCTGTGATCCCCAATGCAAAGGCTTTTGCTTGAAATGTGGAACTAATCTTAACTTTGACCGTTGCAAGTGTGATTTTAAGCAAAATGTGAAGGGGAAGAGCTTTGGTCCTCTTGGAGGTTTGAAAAGCAAAATGCAGCAACAACGATGATTTGATGGATGACCATGTTGTCATGTAGGTTTCTTCTACATAAGAACATATTCTTGTGTAACATTGCTCTCTTTTGTGTCATGCACAAGGGAACTACAAAGTTCTTTTCCATGAGTATTGTGTAATATTTCATATTTTGTCTCTTAAATTTTAGTTGCAACATTTTATTTAAGGTGTAATACGTAGTATATAATAATAAATCCAAACATGTACAATATTGTTAAATTTGGTGGAAACTGGAAAGTATCTGCAAAATATAAACATTTCATGATTTTTACATATAGACGATTGAATATAAGAAAAATAGGTAATATTAATCTCAACTATATCCGGTCCGCTTTTAATAATCCCTAGTTTTGATTATTTCCCTGTAGTCCCAACTTTGGGCCCCCTTTTCCTTAAATACTCCCTGACCGGTAAACATGAGTTATAACTGGTATAATAAACACTTGCAGCGCACTGCGCACGTGTATTAGTAATTATACATTAAAACTCTTGCCCTTGTTATCTTCTATTCTTCGTCGTCCACTCCCAAATGAAAGGTGAACATAGTCAATGGAACTCAATGGCCAAATCGTCTTCCTCTTTTCTTCTCAATCGTGACGCAAGAACTCAACCGACAACACACGATGGCGAAATGGGTTCGATTGCTGGGTCATCTTCATGGGGTAGGACTGGAAGCAGTGGTTTATCAAATCAGTGCTACCATAGAGTGTGTTGTGAACCTAAAATGGTGAAAACGGGCCAAATACTGGGAGACAATTCTATGGGTGTGCACTGTGGCCTGTAAGTTATTGAGTACTCCTTCGATTTTCTCTTTTCATAATGGTTTAACTTGAGAACTTTGACATTAGTTCTTAGAATCTGTCAGAATTCCATTACACTCAAACTAAGACTTTTGTGTATTTGTTATGAGCCTTATCATTGCTCACTTGCAGAAAGCAGATTGTCATTATTTCTAATGGATTGATGAAAGAAGTCCTCTTTGCAAAGAAGACAAGAGAAATGATAAGGATATGTTGTTGGAGCAACTTCTGATGGACAAAAAAGCACTAGAGGGGAAGATTGTTAGGCTGAAATGTAAGAGAGATGATGGAAGCTGAAAATAAGGAATTCCAGCTACTGATTACCAGAAAAACACAGACACAAAGAATGGCTTTGATTGCTTTTTTGCCTCATGGATGTGATTTTGCATTGTGTTGAATTATAAGTAACTTGGTAGTGTGTTTTTGATGAGTTTGGTTGTGGTAATAGTTGTGAGAGGTGTTACAAGATTCTGTGAGCAGTTGGTTTCATTGTAATGTGTAGGATTCTGTTGAACTAATGTAATGTTGAAGTAATGAAAATCTGTTACTCTTTTGACCAAGTGAGCATTGTTATTTTGTTTACAAAGCAAAAGATATCAGGCAGCTAAATGACCCATTAACAAAGCTGGATAACACATCACACTAATTAAAAGTCTTACCAAACACCACAAAAGTATAAGTTACACACACACCCTTTAAAGTGATAGCCTAATGAAAATAGCCTTAAAAAAGTTACTCTAAACAGGTCTAAATGATACACACTGACCCTTTAAAGTGAACATGAAGCGCATGTATAAGTTACATGCTACCACCCTAATAGTAAACAATAGTAAAGTGAACATGAAGCACATGTACAAGTGACATATTACCACCTTAAACCTGCATACTGATCAACAATAACCAACAGTAAAAGAAATGCTCCAAATAGTACCAAGTCTTAAAGTCATTTAACAAACTTAGAAACGCACATACTTCAGTCAATACAGAGGTTCCAATTTTATGTGTACACTCCTTGTACACAACCCCTTCAGTCAACACCTGAAATGGCATGACAACATGGTATTCCACCCAAGTCCCACTTCCTACAAGTGCAAGCTCTTGCTTCTAAATTAACTGTTAAACTATCTAGTCTGTGGCACACTTGGAACAAAGTTTGACTAGATGGAAAAGGGGTACAATTGGCAGCCTCATCCTTTTCTTTCTCAAGCCTAGCCTTAATTCTAGGACACAACAGACCACTTGTTTTTTCCATCTGCTGCCTTTTCACAACTAGCCTTTGCATTAATGCACCTCTTATGTCTACAAGCATAAAAATAATGTGCTTTGCTCTAGCATTTATTATGTAACCATTAAATGTTTCAGTCATATTACTAACAATGACATCACATTTAGTGGTTGTCCTAACAAAGCTAGGCTCTACAAAAACAAGCTGGGTTGTGTGATCTAAAAGCACTCACTGCAGCCGGATTAACATTTTTCATTTCTTCTAAAGCTTCCTCCAAATCAGCTTCATTATATGCCTTTGCAGCTTTCCAGAATAGCATTTTCATTTCATCACCCTTGTGACTTTTATGCCAGTGTGCAAATACATGTCTGGCACAATGCCTGTGCTAAGCTAAAGGTAATTCTTTAGCCACTCCCCTCAAAATGGACTGCCAAAACATACAAAATAAGGTTAGAAAATGGAAAAAATAGTTCTAATATAAGTAATGCATAGCAAACATCTTCATAATATCACATGGTGTTCATCTGAAATGAATGTGAGGTCAACACCGGCAACACTCTTTAAGTTTTTTTTAGTTCACCTAAGAACCATTCCCAACTTGAATTGTTTTCCCCTTCCACTACTGCCTAGGCAGGCTACTGGAAAAATTTGATCATTGGAGTCTCTCCCAATGGCAGACAATAGCATCCCACCTAAGAATGTTTTGATGAAACATCCATCTACACACAACACATATCTACCCCCACTCAACCATCCATCTTTAACCCCTTTGAAACACACAAAGAATCTCTAAAATGTAGGAGGGAAGGTCTTTATTGTTGGGTCTGTGAAGAGCTTGAAGTGGTTGTAGGAGTTATCTTGACTAAGAGCTTCCAAGTACCTTCCAAGTACCTTCCAAATTTGTTGTAGTGTTCAGTCGTACTTCCATGTAGTTTTCTATGGGCATGATACTTGACCTTATAAACAAAGTCCCTCTTCACCAGCACTTTGTAAGCTCTCCTAATGGTTTCCATTATTTTTTTTGCAGGTCAGTGAGGTCTAGACTTGAAAACTTCCAAAAATTGTGTTGCTACCCAGGGAGCCTTCAATTGTCTATTCTTTTTCATATTTCTATTGCAAGTGTGCTCTCCAATTACACTTTTAACAACAAAGCATGCTCTTCTACTATCCCAACTAGCATACAGTCTAAATGGACAGCCTTCTACACATCTTTCACCTATTCTCTGTTGTCTGTCTTTGTGGCTTACATTGATCTTCAAATTTCTTTCTTGGGCAATGGTAAATCTTGCCACATCATCTTTAAACTTCTCTCTATTTTCAAATCTAATTCCAACCTTCCATTTCAACAACTTGAAGTCAGTATTTGCATCCGCCAAAGGAATTTTATCTTTCTTTGATATTGAGAGACTGTCATCTGCATCACTCCCAGGAGGTGTGTGAATATCATCACCCGATTCTTCATAGTCACTCACACATTGGGTGTGAGGTGCATCTTCTTCCTCCTGTACTGTGTCTGGGGGGGGGGGGGGGGTTGAATCACCTAACTTGCCTTGACCTGCTTCTTTTTGCAGTTATTTGGCTATCTGCACAATCTTGGAGTTCCATCCATTCACTCTTCTTCTTGACTCTCTAAATTCCTCATCACTTGTATCTTGATCAGATCCAAAAAGTGGGACCTCTAAGTCCTCACCATCTTCATCTCCCACATCCCCTGAAGAGTCTGAAGCCTCATCATCCATAACTTCATCTTCTGGTCCTTCTTGACTTCTTGAGGTGTTTGGTTGTGAAGTGGAGGTTTGTGCTGCCTTCTTTGCATTTGGTTGAGTTGCACTCAGACCTGAACATCTTGATGTCCCTTTTATCCCCTCATTAACTCCATCTTCAGCCCCCCTTCATTATCCCCACCACCTTCAAGTAGTGGCACCAATTCTGGTGAGCTTAGTCCATGTCTTATATAGCAGTCAATGATCTTATATTGCATAGCTACTTTGTACATTTCCCCGACTTCATCATCAAGCTTAACCCTTCTCAAACCTTTGTCTAAACTTTGACCAGGAATCAAGTAGTAAATATCATCAATGGTTCTATATTTCCCACATTTACCAGCTAACTCTTCTAACCAAAACCAACACAACTCATCAGCATCGATGTCAAAGCATTTATATTCACCATTTGCATACTCCAAATATTTCTGGTTGTTGTGCTTAAAGATACCTCCATGCCACATCTTAATTGTAATCACAGTTGAAGTAGCCATGTCAAGTATCACCTATAAATAAATGGAAATCCGTTAATGAACTAGTTCTATACAAGCAGCATGTTAGTTCCAGGTTCATTTCAGTACAACTTCATTGCAGTTGAGTATATTACACATGATACATGTGTTCAAGTAAGGTATTTCAGTTTCATTTCAATAAACTCAAATTGTGTTCCTATTAGGTGTTATGTCCTATTATTTCAGTTTCATTTCAGTTTAGGGTTCCTATTAATAGGTCATACTACCAGATTTCATAACCCTAAACAAGAACACAAATTGTGTTCCTAAATAAGTAGTTCACTTATTTCATAACCCTATAAACTCAAATTGTGTTCCTAAATGGACTATTCATGTTGGGTAACCACTATTTAGCTGTCTGATATCTTTTAGCTGCCTGATATCTTTTTATAAAGAAATGCTCCAAATATTTCATAACCAGTATGACCCAGGGTTCCTAATTAATAAATAGTTCATTTATTTCATAACCCTATTGATGGAGTATATGGCCCAGGAACCCCCGGCCCACAGACTCCTACTAATCTATCACAAGCCCAACAAGCCCAAAGAGCTCAGGAGGCCCAAGATTCGGCGGCCCAAGTGTCAAGAAGCCCATAGTACACACAGGAGTGCCTTCGGCCTCCTTGGCCGAAGGCTCCAAAACTCACAGAACCGCCATGTTCGACCATGCGAAGCTACTGGGAGAAAACGGCAGGAAAAAGGAGCCCTCGGCACCAGGGAAGCCCTCGGCTGAACCAAGCCTTCGGCTACACAGGGAAGCCTTCGGCCATACATGAAGCCTTCGGCCATATATGAAGCCTTCGGCCAGACACAAGGGTCCTTGGCCACATGAAGCCCTCGGCTACGCCAGGAGCCTTCGGCTGAACGGACTCAATCATCGAAGATTCCCTTTGGAGACAGCCAACCACCGCATTTAATACGACGTCACATCCACCCACCGCATTTAATGCGGGGAACGTGCGATGGCCGGTGCCACCTCGATTGATGTGACCC